CTATCCGGGTCAGCTGTACTTACTTACATAAAGAACGAGGGTTCTTTGTCGTGGACTTTTGTGTAAATCGAGTCACAGATATGACACGTCGAAGATGCCGTACTGCACCCCTCTGGCATCGCAAAAGGGACACTGTAAAATCCCCAGGGTCAAATCCCCCAAGACATGCGATGGATTTGGTGGACAGCTTCTACAAATGGCGGACGGTTATGTAACAATTGTGAGTGTCAAGGCGCCTAAAACTCAAGGGCCAAAAGCACTGGAATGGAGAACGCGTGAGATGGCAAAATCAGGCACCATCATGCACCATCAGCGATCTCGGCGTTTCCCCCCACAACCACGTCGTCTTCAGTCTTCTACGTCATGTCATGAAGACAATGAACGGGGCTAGAATCACTTCGTAGGCTCGCTCTTGGCTTTGGAAATCTAGAGATCTGACTTGGTGACTGCCCACGGGACCCGTGCGGCGGGTCCCTTCCCAAGGTGGGACCAGGAGATCACGGCCATGGGCTCTAAACGGGGGAGCGGTCAAGAAAGCGCACTATGTTCCTGCACGGTTCTGTATGCACCACACACCACAACCATGGTGAAGGCCCTGCACTTAATCCCAATTGACATGACACCGGGAAAGCGGGTCATTGCGCTTCAACGGCCATGTCGTCGATTCCACCACGAAGTATTGCCGGTCATGTCTTGTTCCCTCTGCACCGCGGCGTTGTCTTTTCTTTCCGCTTAAACGAAAAGAACAGCCATGTAGTCAGCAATACCTTTATTTCCATGGTCGCGGGGCACCCACCTCAGGACTTCTATAAATACTGCGCTGTTTCGGGCATAGAAGTCCTCACCAAACACCGCCTCTCAAACTCCTTCCGTATCGAGTCTTCCGTTTATCACATTTCCGCACTCGACTAGCAAACTCATGGTTTCCTCACCCTCACCTCCTCTCTGCAAGTCGTCGACTCAGGACCGAGGTCTCACGCGACGCTACCTTGCTCATCGTGGGGAGTAAACACGGCTTCGGCTTCCGCGAAGTCGCCTGTTCTTGTGCACGCGATCTTCCAGTGCGTTTTGCGGGTTTTGGTTGCTCGTATCCAGTTATTGACCATTGGCCTCCAGGAGCGTCAACCCTGTTCTCCCTCTATTGTGGGGATTCCAGATGGCACGGTGTCATTCCAATACGATTGGAGAGCGGCACTTGCCTTGTAAAACAGCGCCTCAATGTTCTGGAATGCAAGATCGACGAGCCAAATCGAAAGCTGGATCTACTTCTACCACAGTTCAGCGTGGGCTACTATGGTCTTTATTCTTTTACTCCACGTCTGCCTCCTGCTTTCTCGTGCCCCGCCGATGTTTGTTACTTTATCCGTTTGCCGTGGGGGTTCCCAGAAAAGCGATACAGTAACTAACGTCAAATGTTGTGCCTTATTCACAATATAAAATACTTATGACCGTTACTCTGGAATGTAAAACTTCGAGTTTTTAATCGGCGAGGCAGAGCCCCGAGGAGGAACTTCTGGAGGTCTTCAAATCTAGGAACTCCATCGCGCTGTCCAGAACTGGAGCGTCAGCGAGGTATACGAAAACGTCCGGAATGGCGTTGTCAATGACAAACACTGGGCCTCCATATGTGTAATATAGCAGTCTGCCAAGTCTGACTTGACCGAGTCCAACTCTACGATCTACGAAACCGATGTGTTTCTATCTAAAGTACATACACGCGCGATCCCCACATTACTCTCCCCTGTTTCAGTACAGTGAGCCAAATTCATTTACCGTACACATCCTCTTTGTGGGTCACAGTGGTATCGTGAGCTTGGTGTCGTCGAAATTGTTCCCGATGATATAGGTGTTTACGCCGGTCTGGATGGTGAATCTGCCCGCAATTCTTCGTGTCGTTGTCTGTCGACGATCCATTCTCATCTGCATCGAATCCGGCACTTACAGTGCAGGAAAGGGTTGTAGACTCGGCTGGAAATATTTTCAACGACCCTCTTATCGTAAGGCGGGAAGAGGGGAGATTCCTGGAAACCAGCACGTACGGTGATCAACTTAATCTCGGCCTGTAGTCGGTGACTATCTCTGGGGAAAGCAATTGTTGTAAATACCGGTCCGAATGTTTATCACAAATGAAAAAACCCAAAGAGCACTTCCGCCAATGGCAGGGGAGGGTTTTGTTGTACATTCGCTGGCAACCTGTCACTCCCCGCCGTCGGAAAAATCTCAAGCCAACACCTACAATTTGTACTATTGCCCCTCCCCAAGCCAAGTGAAGAAGCGGAAGCGCTCTACCATCCTCTCTTCAAATGGTGCGGAAGTGATGCTGGTGGTAGCCGCACGGCGCAGGGTTGGAGAACGGATCAGAGTTCCTTTCCCAGGATCGTTCATTGTCTACGTCAACCCCGAAGGTGGGGACCATCGCGTACTTTTGAGGAGGTAGATGATACCGGTCAAACCCATCACAACATGCGAGTTCATCTCCATGCTTCAGAGGTGTAAACCTCCCACTGGCTGGCCCGGAAAGCTTGGTACGAATATATTCCCTGTTGAAAGGTGAGATTAACAACAGCCCCCCCAGCCATTGCCAACTCAGGCGGACCAGACTCCACATGCCTTTCATTCCTCCTGAATGACGTGTTACGCAAAGTCAAAGAAAATGACGCGACTCAGGCGGGGAAATGGTTTGGAGAGCTCATATCGTTGAACGTGGATCATCAATTCCAACCTTGTTCTTCCGAGATGTCCCTCAAGACCGCAAATATTTCCCATTCCCTCGGTATTCCTCACGAAACACTGCAAATCCCTTGGGGTTCTCCTCCTTATACGGCAAAACCTTCCCCAGGCCAATCCTTTGAAGAAATTGCCCGAGACGCGAGGTACACACTGTTGCTCTCTGCTATGTGCCGATACGGAGCAGACGCCATTGCATCTGGCCACCACGCAGACGACCAGTCGGAGATTCTTTTGATGAGGCTCGAAAATGGCACGGGTTTTTTTGGACTTGGTGGTATGAAGCCCTTCCGGCGATTTGGAATGGGTGAAGGGTCACCAGGTCAGATGGGTTGTTACGGGATTGATGGCATGCAGCGGTGGATAATCCGTCCCATGCTTGGCGTCTCCAAGGTTGATTCGTCACTGTATCCTCCCTCGTTCCCATTGACCGGGTCCCGGCCTTGCAGGATCGTGTGCTTGCGACTTGTGAAGAGCATGGATTAGAGTACGTAACCGACAAGACGAACTTCCAACCAGAGGTTACGTTTAGGAACGCTGTGAGGCATGCTCTTGCTAGAGGCAAGATAACTGACGTGAGCATTTTCTTCATGGCCTTACCATGCCGTACTGATAAACACAAGATTATCCGTCACGGGAAAACGCTACAGAGGGCAGCCGCGAATGCTGAACGCCTGGGAGTTCCTCTCATGCTTCTTGATGGGATTGAGTCCCTTCGATCGTTAGCAGGTGCCTACGCAGCGGAGGTCGAGATGGTGGAGGCCGAAGGTTGGTCTTCAACGCATTTACCATACCTCCACTAACGTGTGTCTGCAATTTAGCTCGCACTATCCTTCGTGATTGCGCCGTTCCATCACCTCCTTCCACAATTTTTCTCTCACAGGACAAACTCTCCCAAATTACTAATCCACTCACTCAGCGATCGATTGTCATCCAGATCCTGAGATTCGTGTCCCCGCATCCGTGGGGCTCACCCAGAGCAGAAGGGTCCCGTAAATTAGCCAGTCTGGATCGAATCGTTTCCATCCTCTTCAACCACTGCTCGGATAAGATCTCCGGGAAACGGATTGCCTTCTCTGCTGGATCCCATGTCCTTTGGACACCGGTTTACATCAAACCCGATGGCCAAGTCAAGCGTGAGAAACCGGCCTCGAGCAGGGGCGGATGGACTGAAGGCTGGATCGCCTCCCGATTGCCCCCCTACACTTGTGCAATCGGTTCCTTGGGATTGGATATCGATATTACATCTCTCATCCTCAATAAGAGACCTTCTGGGAATCGCGTCGAAGTTTTATACGATAACCGGTTCATCCTGTCCTTCGACCCTCATGCGATCCCAGAAAAGGTTTTCGAGAGATTACGAACTCCCTCTGGTGAACACCGACTTGTGGTCACCGCAACCGGAAAATACTTCTTACCCCGCCTTGTTCTCCGGTCATCGAATGGGGATGACATCATCAGAGAAATTGGCGCCTCTGACACTACCCCCGAGGTGGGATCTGTCGTGACGGTTTCCGGAAGCGATGGGCACTCGCCTGGAGCAGGGTGGGTAAGCTGGAGGCTTGCGCGAGTGTTTGAGTAATATACCAGCGGGAATGGGTGGGGATAAGTTATGTAAATGGAATCCAGCTCAGCCTCCAAGGTCGAATTTCGTACTGGGAATTCTCAATACCATGAAAAGGTTAGTGACAACGACGCAATTTCCACGGCGCATTACTGACATCACAAGTACAGGAGGAGAGCCTGGAGTGGTTTACACGGCCACGACGTCCACGTAAATGTTCCGAAAGGTCAAATCCAAGAGGTAGATTAACACCCCATGTATGCGATGTCCCGAAGGAACCATATTGGCGCGGTGTGGACCTTTCGTTTACGCTGCGGTCTGACCCCTACGGATGTGAAAGATATATGGAATCATACGGCACGAAAGGTTTGCCTATCACGGATAAGGACGAATGACAAGCATGTCGTGGTTACGTGCGATCGAAAATCCAACACCTTGACTGACGTTTCTGTGCCAAATGTTTAGCGCAATCAGTGCCGCAACTTGGTTGACCCCTCCGCCCTAATGGGACGACAGCGAGAGACAATTATGCGAAGAATATGGAACCAGCATCGAGCGTCGAGGCAAATTGTCAAGCCCAACCGCATAAATTTATCAACAAAGTCTCCCAGTGAGTACTCGCGATCATGTCCCCGCGATGGGACAAAGTTTTTGCGAGGGTGGAGATACCTTTGCGGGTATGATTGTAAAAGGTTGTAATTCGGATGCCGGACCCTTAGCTCAATCGGTAGAGCTTTGTACTTATGAGGTTAACTCCCGTCATGCAAGGGTCCCGAGTTCGATTCTCGGAGGGTCCATGGTATCTTTTTCCCGCTCACCCTGGCAAAACGAAGCAAAAATGACATGGAATTACACTCGGGGGGACATCAGCAAAACCTGGGTCCCTGGAAGCATCTGGCTCAGCAACCTGAGGGTTTTGCTGATAAATTAAAACAAACAGAAGGTAAGGTACACGACAAGAATACAAAAAACTGAGAACATCCAGTCTAAGGCCTTTTGATATTACCGCAGTCAAACTCTGCCTCCAGCCAATTTACCATCGTTTGTGCCACCTGCTCGGACATGCGTATAGGTTCGTATACACTCACCCGGACCGCCTCTATGTGTTCGTTCACCATGTGTTGCAATTCCGCGTGTTTCCGTTTAAGTAGGGGCTGCGTGGCTTCCCGCATCTCTTCCAAGAGGTAGGGTTTCAACGACTGGATGACCTGTTCCAGTGTCAGAGGAACTTCAGGTTGCGCACTCTGCTGTTCAACGAATGCCTGGACGGTGGCATTGAGAGCCTCGATCTCTCGCTGCATCGAGGTGATTTTCTCCTCCTTCTCCTTGATCTCTTTCACGCGCTGTCGGGGAGGAATATCAACTCAGCTCATAGACACAGAAAACCAGAATCTGTGTCTCACCCCGTTTGCCCTGTTGTCAATTTCTGCGGCATCCTTCCGCACCACTTCGAATTCTTGATATACTTCGTCCCAATCCGCAAGGGCCCTTTCCGCTTCTGTCGTAAGAGCCACGACGACCCGTGAGTTGCTCTCCGTAACTTCGGCTGCGGTCTTCGCGCTTTCTGAGAACGTTTGATAATCCTGTACTATCTCCTTCAATCGAGTGACCCGAGATAAATCTTCGCCCTCAGAGTCCTCCACAACGTCGTTGAGAATTACATCGATCGCTCCCTCGGCCTCCGTGATCCGATCAACAAGCGTTTCGTTCGCTTTTCGAAGGTCAGCGATGGTCCGTGCCATGGACTTACGCCGCGACGAAGGTCTGGGGTCGTCGTCATCCGCCCTCTTCCTCTTCAATGGGGGTGTGTGGTCAAGGACACCGTCTCCGTCTTCAACTTCCATAGGAGACCATGAGAGAGGGGTAGACGATGCCGGCGGAGGAGCAGCAGCAAGGGACTCCTGTTCTGCTTTTATCTGCTCCAATAGCCGGTCCTGCAAAGCCAGCTTCTGCTCCAGTTCATCCATCCTGACGGTCGCAAACTGAATTTTCTCTTGTACCCATTCAATCTCACGAGCCGTCGCAGCCCGTGTATCGGGTGGGGCAGGCGCAAGAGCGGCGTAGGTCTTTGAAACGTTTCTGTCGAGGGCGATCGACTGCGATACGATTGCTTCGAAAGCGAGTTGATGCTGAACGAGGTTCGTTGTAGCGTACGTGACTCTAGCATCAACTTGCGCTCGAGCCTCCGGGGAGAATGACTCGTAGCCGGCGCGGTTCTTGTAAGATTGAGCCATCTTCACTTCGTCTTGCCAGTCCATTACTTCGGATTTGGCTTTCATTAGGTCAGCCCATAGCCTGAAAGAAACGTTTGTCAAAGGAGGCGTCAAACATTCCTTTCACGAAACCAGCAAAGTCAACGCACTTTACCCGCGTCGTCCAAATCTCAGTCTTTTCCGCTTCCGGGATAGTTGCGGCATGGGATACCGCAGGACCTCCGTCGGGTGTAGTGGTAGATGGGTCCGTGACTTGTGTGGTCGCCTGGTCTCTGATAACTTGCTCTAATGACCTCTGGAGTGCGGACATTGGGAAATTGCTGGTTTGAGTGGGGTCAGCGGAGACCGTAAGGCCGGGAATAACTGGAGTTTCGGGAGCGAATATGGACGACTGCGGGTCCACCTGAGGTGAAGGTTGTAGAATAGAATCGGAAGTGACAGTGGCTTGCTCCCCCAGAGGCAAGTTCAGAGAAGGCCGCTGTTGGTCTCGATCGACGGAAGTTGTAGGCCGGACAAGCGTTTGATCCCCCGCGACGGTCCTGTTCTTGCCACTGAGCACTGAGTGAGTAGATTTTGACAAAAGGCTAGGAACCACGTCGGCCGGAGACTCGACCTTCACCCTCCGAGGGGCATTATCCAATTTAGTGTCCCTCGGAGGAGTAGGGCCGCTCGACGACGAGATCGGTGTTGTCGTCCGTCGACGGTCTCTTGCATGACGGGGCGGAGAATTTCGTGGTCTCAAGCGAGAGGGAGAGGGTCGGCGGGGAGAACGTGAAGGCTGAATTCTTTCATGGAGTGGTCGACGTGGAGGAGGCGGCGACGACCGTCTCGGACGCCTTCTGCTTGGACTCACGTATCTTCCGCTGCTCCTGCTTCGACTCCTACTCCTACTTCTCGGCCTCCCAGCCTTACCCCTACCTCTGCTCCTACTCCTGCTCCTACTCCTACTTCTTCCTCTCCCGATTCTCGAGCTCAAACTCTCTTTCCGACCAACAACAAGCCTCCTCGGCGGCGAAGACAGCCTCTTCCCCTTGTTGTCCCACTGCGGTTCATTCGGATGAATGTACCAACAGCCCTTGGAACCTCGTGGACACGGCGCCGGGTCGGGATCTCCCGTTTCCGGATTGTAATACTTTAGATCACGCAAAGAAGAACGACGAAAGACCCGTCGTGAGATAAACCACTGAGGAGAATGACCACCGAGAAACGTACCAGGCATTTAACTACTTTCACTTGTTTTGGTGCCATCGAACAGAGGACACGTCGAAAGACCGAGACCACGAGTGTGTTTTGTGCAAGGGGCCGATTACGTCGAGTTACGGATATAGGATGGTGCGATGATCGAGAGGGAAAGATAGCCTACTATGAAAAACACAATGACTAAAGATGTGGAAATTTTGGTCCAAATTGTGGTGAAAATTCGATAACAAGAGGCAAGTAAAATGGATACACTGGGGGAATATGGATGCACTATGAGATCAGGTATTCAAAACAACACGGAGGACGTCGAGGAAACCAGGTAAACATCAAACAAGAAAGAAAACATTACGAAGGTGAGATGAGGGTGAGGATGAGAGAGAAAGCAGATGAGGAAAGCGTGTTTAATGTGTAACATTTACCAGGGGATGATCACGAGGATTCGCCCATGCCAATATCCTTGTCCACCAACGAGGCCAAGTCAGCTCTTACCGACCGCAGATAATGTCCAACGGCCTCGAACAACTTTTGAGTATTCACAAGTCTCGCATAAATCTGCCCCTCCATCCGGGATCGTTCCCTTTGGATTTCCTTGCGTGTGCGTTCTACTCCGCGCTCGACATGCACACTTACATCCTCGAGAATGACACGAGTGTGTTCGTACAAGGTTGGCTGAGCAGCGGCCTTGACGTTTTCGATTGTGATCTCGTGCTTCAATCCTTCGATGAGTTCCGTAACCCGAGAATGAAGGGCATCGAGCTTCGCAGAGGAAGCATCTAGGTACCGATCGAGGGTTCGAACGTTCTCCTCGTGCTATTATGAATTTCAGCACGAGATAGGCCATCCGCAAAAGCCAGTACTCACGACTTTCTCCTCTTCTTTGCGTTGGTCATTGCCGACCTTGATAGAGGCGATCTCTTGGCGGATCACAGGAACTTGGTAAATGAGCTTCGCGATACTTTCAGCGAACACTTGTAGCTGCAGGGATTGACAGTCCGGGGCAGGGAGCGACTCCTCGATGGTTTGAATTAGACCACCCTTGTGGGGATTCCCCTCCACAGATGTGATCGTTTGTAGCGAATTCTGCAACAGAACGAACTTCGGTAAGACGCACAGTCGGGACCGATTGAGTGGAAGCGAACCTCAACAGCAACGACCCGCTGGACGTTAGTCTGATGCGCGGCGACCGCCTCCTCTACGGCCATCTCGATGGGGTCCGCGGGGGGCGGACGAAGACCACAGTTGACCTCTCTAGCCTGCTTCTCTTTCATCAAGTCCTCGAGCTTAGCCTGGAGAGCGATAAGGTTCCGGTCAAGATGATCATGTTTCTCTTTCAACTTGTTCTCCGCCTCAAGAATGACTGCCCTTCTCTTCTCCCCTGCGAGGGTTTCTCCAGTCGGGTGGTTGTGTTCGTTGTACCCGACAACGTCAGACAGTTGATGAGATGGGAGGTTTCCCAGATGCGCGATGATACGTGCCAACCGTTCGCTCTCGTCGTGGGAGGTCCCACGGAGCATGTGAAGCTTATCCATAAGAACCTGTCGCGCTTCGCGGCCAGGATGGTTGTAAATCCGAGATTCTTGCAATTTCTTATAGTCTTCGTATCGTTTCTCGGCTTTCCTGCTTCGATCCACCGCAACCGCGGCATCCGTAAAGAGACTAGGGACAATCGAATGGTTATGCAAAACACCCAGGGAACGATTCTGAGGGCGTGCTCACTACAGTAAATGTTTGGCATATTTGGTCTGCTCCTCGGAGGTCTTTGGCTCTCGCGAAAGAACGTTCATGTCGTATTCGATACACGGAAGCATCTCAACGATCTCCCCAGCTTCCAAAGCCTCGTCGCGGATGGACCGGTCCGTCATGCTGCCCATTGCTGCGTCGCCGTCGCCATCAACTCCAGAATGTAAGTGACGATAATACCGCGGACATTGGCTGACATCCTCGAGGCTTCTCTTGCGCTTGTTTCGGCGTCTCTGAACAGCGTTCTCTAAGGCGTTTAAGATCGCCTTGCCCTCGAATTGCGGCTCCTCCTTGTCGACGACCATGGCCGCTGGCGCAGTGTCGAGGCGGGGGGTGACGTTGGCGTAATCTGAAAACGAGTAAAGCCACGAAGGAGCTCACGTGAGCGTACCATTTTGGGAAGGGGCGTGATAGGCAAATAAAATCGTTACCTTGGGTGGTACTAACAGCCCTAGACGTATTGCGCAAAGCACCCCAACCACCGGCCTGGGAACTAGTGCTCAATTCCCTTCCCTTCCCTTTATCGGGACCGGCGCCACTGGCGGGTTCGGGCCTTGAGATTTCGTTCGAAGCGGCCCAAGTGTTCTCCGAGGAGCCCCAACCAGATGGACCCTGGGCGTTCTCGGTCGAGCCCCAGGTGTTGG